CAGCTGCAGTGTGTGTGTGTATGTGTGTGTGTGGGGAAGTGAGGGAAATACCTGCCCTGGGAGGACCTAAAATGGTGGGCAGGGAAAGACAAACACACCTTGATATGGCTAGGATGGCTAGATATTTGTGTGTATGTGTGTGTGTGTGTGTGTGTGAGTGTGAGAGAGAGAGAGTAGTAGAATTGTGTTGTGTGAATGCGCATGAGTACCTGAGTGTGTACATTATGTGTGCGTCTGGCTGGGGGTACAGGAGCGGCTGGGGTTTGGTGCAAAATGCGCGCCAACGCAGCCGGCCCAAGTTGGATTTGACCGAAGCTCAAATAAACACCAACATGAATTCCTCTTTTCTCCCCGTGTTCCCTCATATAGCAAACGCACATTTATGGTGCGGAAGTGAAGGAGAGCCACCTTACACAGCCTACAGTGTTCCCACTGCTCCACACGTTGGGATGTGTGTGTGTGTGCAATTTTTCCATAAGCATGCATTTCTGTTTAAGTATATAAGCCAATTCCTGGATTCTTAAGTTCAGCTCAGTTCAGTGCTCCTGAATTATATGTAATATTTTGTGTTTCTCTGTCACTTTTTTTTGTTTTCTCTACCATCCTTCCTACTTTGCATTTTTGTAGTTGTCAGACTTGTCTTAAATATGTTTTTAAGGTCAAATCTATCACAAAATAGAGAGCAAAAACATACAAATAGAAGGTGAAGATTCCCAGATTGTAACCAGATCAAAAAGAGAAACCCATTTCCTCCTTTTACTCTGACTCTTCTTCCTGCCTATTTCTCCATTACGCTCCTCTCCACTGTCAGGTAGGCAGCGGGCCCCAGTGGAGTAAACACAGTAGGAAAACACACTTTCATCAACGCACTCACATACACATCTTTAATCTCTCTATGGAGTCCGCATACACATTAAACAGAGACCCCTCTTTTCCCCTCTCAACAACTCGCTCCACCCGACCCAACCCTGCATTCCTCTACACCTCCCCTTCATCCTCCTCCACACACGACCTGAACAAGCCGCGATTCAGGGGGTAGACTGGGAGGGGAAGAGGAGCCGGGGCTCAGGCTGTACAGTAACTAACCAGACAGATTTCTACTGAACTGAACAAGCTGTAAAATCAACAGAGTGTGTGTGTGTGTGTGTGTGTAATGGTGGTGATGGATTGGACATGAAACATTCGAGATGTTATTCCTGGACATCGTGTCATCTCTGGGATCGGGCTATTTGGCAGAGAAGACAGACACACACATACACACATTCGTGCAAACATATACAGTACATTCACAGACACACACGCAGGTTATGTAACCCTGTCTGCTTAGCAAGCAGGACAAACACAAACATAAGCAGGTAGCTGGATAAGCTTTACCTGCATCCATCAGCATTTGTGAGCTATTTCACAACGCCAGGAAATCATTTTTGATGCTGTGTTTACACACGATTACAGTTACAAAGCAATGGTGGACTGTTGAGATGTGGGAGTTACACTGTGTGTATTTAACATGTTATTGCAGTTTTAGGAGGTCAGTTCCAATAAAATCTATATATATTATTTATATTTACTTTACACCTTCAAAGTAGGGCTTTTATTTTTCAGTTGATCATTTAGTCTAGAAAATGTTCAATGAGACATCTTCAAATGTCTTTTTTTGTCCGACTAAACAGTCCAAAACCCAAAAATATTTATTTTACAATAATGTAAAACTGAGAAAATCAGCACAGTCTCTGAATGTGTGGCATTTTTTGACTTTTAATGACTCTGATGATTTCTCTATAGCCCGAAAACATCAGAAAACTAATAATATTAATAATAATAAATAGTGATTTAAGTCCATTTTCAAGCAAAATATTACTAGTTCCTGCTTCTTAAATGTGAATTTTAACTGTTTTTCTATATTACCTTAATGATAGTAAACGGGATGCTTTTGGGTTAAGAAAACAAGCCATTTAAAGACGTCACTATGAGCTCTGGGAGGAATTTTTGTAACTTTTTTCTGACATTTTACAGACTACAGATTTATTGACAAAATAAAAAATATTAATAATATTAATAGCATATTAACCAATAATGGAAAAAAAGGCTTTAATTGCAGCCCTAGATTCAACTATCAAAATTGTTGTCAATTAATGTCATCATTTTCAGCACTAATCCAATGGTTTCCTCATACTCTGGACCACTCAGTTGAGTGGTCAGTGTTGCAAATTTAACCCAAGAGTTATTTTCTATCTCTTTACTCCTTTTCCATTTCCTTTCCAGTAGCAACATAGAAATCTAATATAAAGACATGGCATATTTGCTTTTTTACTGAAAAAGGAAATGTTCCTGTAAGTTGTCTTTCACAGCCAAGCCACCTCAGGGGGCTCAATTTAGAGAATATTCATTACAATAGTTCTGCCAGACCCATAGAGTAAATGAAACAAGTCTAAAAAAAACAAATTCCTCCATCTCGGCCACACTGCATACCATTAGGCATTTTTATACAAGGCCACAGTCAAATAACGGCTCTTCCAGTGAATGTTTACAATCAACATGGTTAGGTGAGATATTTTATCGCTGTCAAATCTGGACCCTCTACTGTTTGTCTTCATTTTTACACATTTAAATAAACAAATCTATTCACTCTATCCGATAAGTTGTTTATCTCCCCAGCCACTCTCCCTCATATTCCCTGTTTTTCCAAAGCCAACAAGTCTATTTGTCGTATCTATTCAAAACAAACCAAAAATCAACACCCTCATGGCATCTGAACCAGAGAAGTAAACAACTGGAGGATCTCCAAACCGTGTTTCAGCTTTGTTCCACAACAAACATTATTATTTTCAATCAGTTATATCAATAAACTGTATCCAGTAATATCAATAAACTCCATTACTTGACCGTATCTAGCAAGGTTTTCTTTTACTTTTTTCTGTCAGCGTGCGTTTGTGCATGCACACAGTCACAGGGTTTGGGAAGACTGCAAGGATTTCGTGTTTGACCACATCCATAAATATTGAAACAAGTTCCCTTTCTTCAAATCTCAGAATACTGAGTAAATATTGACGCGGTGAACTGAAGCATCCCATACCTCTACTTACACTCTCACGTATGCACATACATGAAAACACACCACACACACACATATGCTTATAGAGACACACACACACACTGGTGCTCTCTGAGCACTCTCTGTTCACACCAGGGAAGTCCTGGAAAAATTAATTGCAAAGCTAAACCGACATGAAGCCCTCCTCAGTCACACATGCGAGCTCACTGACACATGAATATAAAGAAATGTGACACGTGGACTTCACCAAGAAGCAGATACACAAAGTTACTGACTTCACCTACACACAAACAAAAACTCAAATCCAGAGTAAAAACTTCACCACTGAATAGAGCACTCACACTAAGGGTTTCATTCCTGAAATGAATGTGTTGTGTGTTTCTTTATGCAAGAGAGTTTGAAAAATTTCTGTACTGCAAAAGAAGTTTTTATGTGTGTGTGTATGTGTGTGTTTATGCTGCACTTCTCCTGCCAACAGAAACAGCTCAGTAGCCAGTGAGCAGGAAGAGAGGGGTTCATTAAAAACCCAAATACAGCAGTTACATAACCAACAGTTCTGTTCATCCCAGAACCCCCGGTGCTACGAACACACTCCTCCCTCATTCCTCATCTTCTTCTCCCTCCCACGTCTGGCAGAATGCTGGCAGAGCCCACCCATCATCCTCTTCTCCTCCCATAGCAACAGCTCATCTCAGCTCTCCTCCCTTGTTCCCAGACCAACACACTGCCTCACTCCCCCCCCCCCACCCTCCTCCTTTATCTGCTCCCCTGGTCCCTGCCACCTCCTCCTCACTCTCATCAAACAGTTCCTTCTCTTATTCCCACATCATCATCCAAGCTTCACTTCAAACTTTACATACAGCAGGACTACGAACCAGGAATATTAACTACAGTTAAAACAAGAAACTTTTTTTTTGAAAATGACACGCCGGTCCCAAACGTCTTTTCTATTCTCTCTCTGCTCTTTCAGTTTCATACAGGGATCTGGTTTCCACAAGCCCTTACAACTGACTTGCATACTAAGAATAAACAGAGCAGATAGTGCAGTAAGTGTGTGAACACAGCAGATGGCAACACAGATTAAGGATTTGGGCGGTATCAGTGATTGTCTGGGATACCTCTACCCTACAAACGCCTCTGTCCTTTTTCTTCTCCAGTGGATTAGCGATTGTCACATATCCCCCCTGATGGAGGATTGTCTGAGAAACAACATGCGGTTAAATAAATCCCAGCATGCGGTCTTCTCACATGAAGGAACAGCGCCCCCTTGTGGCCCGCAGACAGACCTGAAATAAACCATATAAACAGCACATTTCATTTAAATCAGAAGTACCCAAACCCTGGGCCATGGACTGTTACCTGGAGTATTTACCTGGGGTAAACCATACGATCAAGCTAACAAAGCTGAATAATAGTTACTGTAACTTTGAAGGTTATTATAGTCAATACTTGAATTGCCCTTGGGATTAATAAAGTATATCGATCGACCCATCTGTGAGGTCATTATCCTGAACTTGGCAAAGCCTGTATGTGCTGCATTTCTCTAATCACTTATCTACAGATGATCATAGGCACAAAGTAACCGGTCGGTCACCACCACCATTTTTTAGTGTTACAGAATACATGAACCTCTGTGTGAGGCCACAGCCTCACTGTTCTGGAGAGGTCTATGTGTATTTATTTATTTTTTGGAGGGGGGGGGGTACCAAATAAAGTAGTTTTTGGGTAACATTTTACTTAAAGCATTTATAGGTTGTATCAAAACATTTAAGAATAACAAAGTATAATGTAGATGGATGCAGATATAAGGACATTTATGTGCTGTATCAAAATATTTGTCAGCTATAACTTAGCCTACTATGTTGTCATTCATTATATATTATACAGCAGCTTGGAAGTGTTATTGCTGTTCTCAAACAAATTAATAAACACTCATATCAAAAATATGTCAGAAAGCAACAGAGCAATGGACCATTTATTGCAGCCAAGCTAAATGCAGCCCAACCGAGTCTAACATACATCTGCTAATATGTCTACTGAGAAAATTCTAAAATAGTAATACACATGGAAAATACAGAAACACTCACACTTAAACAGGATATATTTACACTGATACGTCAAACACACGCACTCTCTCACATGAACAAGCATATAGTCAAAAATGTATGGGGGAGAAGTCGCAGTGGAAGTGGCTGTGAATCTCTCGAGGGCTGTCATACTCTATCTTAACACAAGGGGGCACTGGAGGGCTTTCTGGAGAAGCAGGGCTGACTTGAGAAGGCAGCAGAGACATAGCCTTGGTTGGAGTACTCTCCGCTCTGAGGCAAGAGGGACGCAGAGAAGAAACAGGAGGAAGGACAGTGGTGCTGCTGCTGCTGCTGGTGTGTGTATGGGTGTGTGACGTGCACTGGGAGTTTGCATGCGAGGGCCCGTGGTCCCCCCGGGTGAAGAATGAAGGGGTAGGCACGGTGGTGGTAGAGGAGGGCTGCTGGTGATCTCGAGCACCTCCCATGCTGGTGGGGTAAGTTGGAGGGCACTGAGCACGCTGGTGGATGGTTGGTTGAGTGTACATGCTACCCCATGGGTACGACTGGTATGCTGTGATCCCACCTGCATGTGAACACACAGATTCAAACAGATTTTTTGGAGGCTTTACTGGAGGTAACTTTGCTCAGGTTCAGGATCAGGACCACACCTCACGGCTTCCTGTCAAATGTCCTCTTGATAGGGGTATTTTTGTGGCTCCATAATAAATCAAGTAATATCTCATCCCAGTGACTCACCATGATGACCGGCCGACTGCAGCAGGATCTGTCCTGCACTCTGGGACTGGAAGTAGTTGGGGCCTCCAGTAGAGTAGGTCACCATCCCAGTGGAGTTTCCTCCAGGGCCAAAGGTCAGGTAGGAAGTAGGGTTGGAATCTGGAGGGTTAGGGGTGAGGTAGGGGGAGGGGGTGAGGTAGGCCATGCGGGGCAGAGGTGCTTGAGGCTGGTGCTGCGGCTGGCCGGTTGGGTAGGTCTGGAGCTGGTAGGAGAGAGCGTTGTTCTGCTGGCTTGAGGTCAGATAGTCAAGCTTCTCCCCAAAGTCAAACAGAGAACTGAGGATTATACAAAGAAGAATTTAGTCACTCACACACACCCATAAAAATAGTGTGTTACTACAAAGATACCTCTTTGGTCATGAACTGCTCTGATACTACCATCTCTCTCTGATACAGTGTCTTTTCATTGGCCTGTTCAAAAACTAGAGGGCAAGGAGATATACAAGTGGGTGTTCTGTGAAAGCTGAAAGACTTATCAAAGCAGTGAAAGGATTGTTAAAAAACAATATCTCTAGCCGCAATAGGGGGGCTGACAAAGACTTTTAGAACCGTTGATATATACAATGATTATTTTGTAAAATCACTCACATGAGCTAGCTGAGTTGTCATCACAGCATACTCTTAAAGGGTCGGTTCACCTAAATTACAACAAGACTTAGGGGCATTCATGCACAACCTGGGACAGTGATATTCACCGTAATTCAAAACTCTGAAAGCAACATTGAGACAAAATGTCCCAATTACTCTACAGAACTCGGTTTTTGTGTTGTCTTGCATTGGGGTTTTTAGTGCTGTGATCATAATTGCAGTCAAACAAACAAAAATCATTTAATACAAAGCAATCACTGACTGAGATGTCTCCCAGCATGTTTTCTGAAGTATTTCAGAGCGCCAGCTGAAACCGACTCCCTACTATTACAGACACTGTGAGGCATCATTATATGCTCGTGTCTGCAGCCTGCCAACCCTCTGTCCTCCTGTCATCTCGTGTCCTCATCCCTGTTCAAATCATCTTCTAGTATTCATGTCACAGTCAAATGTGAGCTGAACTGACCTGGTATCAGTCTGCAGAGACTGGGTCTCACGATGGGCCAAGGAGGAGCCACCCTCCAGAGCATCCAGGAACAGAGGTGGGGTGTGAGCCAGGGTGTTAAGGAGAGGTGGAGTAGGGTTGGTAGGGTTGTAGGTCGTTGTGAAAAGGGGGAGACTGGCTCGCCGCAGGGGGGGAGGGCTATGCATGGGGCGGGGGTGGTACTCTGGCAATCCCCCCTGAGATGAAAGCTGGTGCTGGTCCCCATCTTTCATTCTGGATTGACCTTGGAGATAAAACAGAGATTAAACATCCAGATTAATGCGATAATGTAGTTTGGATTCTGGGGAATTTAAGTCTCAACATGCAGGGTGAGTTCAAACTCGATTCAAGGTTTCTACAGAATCAAGGTAAAGTTTCTCTTAAAGAAAGAAACTAAACCAAAGACTGATACACTAAGATTAAACTTGAATATTTAAGGGACTTTGGTGCCTTCGGTAAGAGCTCTCAGTCAGCACTTCCTCTTAGTGAATATAGCTATACACAGGGCTATAGCTTTACTAGCAGGACTCCTGAAAGTTGGAAAGAAAAATAAACCAGTTTAATCACTGCTGGATAACTTTACGTTTCTTGCTGAATTCCACTGCCTCAGCATCCCCACTGTGCCAATGCATTGGTCTTCAAATGTACAAGGGCCTTCACCATTTTGTACTATTTGTAAATTAAAAATGTTTTTTTACAATAAATTGTTAATGCTAGGTTTCTGATCAAATATTATTAAACCCTCTCTTGTGGAAAGTCAATTATTTATATATCCCAGTATCACACTTTCACATTTGCCTGCTTCTTCATAACAGACATTCATGGATTACATTCATCTAGTTTAGTTTCACCACTTGGTAAAACTTCTAGTTTTGCACAAAGGCATCCTGACTCTGGTTCAGGAAAATATCAGAGATCCTCAGACCTGGGCTGCTGAGGCTGGCCAGCAGGTTGTCGTACGAGGGCGGAGTCTGGTTGGAAAGGGTCGGGTAGGAAGGTGCCACAGGGGTTAGCTGGGGCATCTGGGTGGCAAAGTGCCCAGTAAAAGCGGGAGGTCCCTTACTGAAAAAGAGAAAAAAACATAACTAACAATAGTCATAGAGCCAGTCAATTAAGCTAAAATACGTAATATGTTATTTGCACCATGTGAGGACAAAAAAACTACAATAACACATGGGGACAATGCTGTAATACCTGTTGGTTGCCAGTGTACAATTGAGTTGGTGATGTGGGGAGCTGCTGCTGCATTCAGCTCTACCCGTTCTGTGTTCAACCTTTGCTGTGATGGAGCGCTCCACCTTCCTCCACTTAGCCCTGCGGTTCTGAAACCAGACCTGAGACACGGGAACATAGAGAGAGACAATAACATGGATATCAGGAGTGAGTCAATGTTGAGACAGGAAGTGAAAACATTACTCTAAGTTTATTTTTACTTAAAACTGTAAAGGAGACGTAAAGGGGTCATAAGGGATATTTCACAATCAAAAGAGCAAGATGGCTGTCTAACCATAATTCTTTGAGGTGTGACACCAACTGAAGCAGCGATGACTTTCCTCTTCTCTGCGTCAGGATAGTGGTCCTCCTGGAACAAGGCCTCTAAATGCTCTAACTGATCTGTTCATGCACACAAACATGCACCAAACACAGGTCACCTGTTTGCATAGTCAAATCTGAACATACCTGGACAAACTGACAATTCGGTTACCAGTACTGTAGAGTGTTCGTGTTTTCTTCTTCGGTGCAGGCGGGAGCAGGTAGCTGTCCACCGTCTCTAATCCCGGCAGCAGAGGGAAGCTCAGGGCCCGGCCTCGACCCCTGCCGCAGTAGCGGATGGAACGTCGGGTGGAGTAGACCTGGGTTATCTCCATCTGCCATGAACCAGACAAACATTACCTCAGCACTCATCATCTCAGTCAAATTCAATCAGCTAAATATTGATCTGATTGACTGTGTTTTTTCTTTAAAAATTATGATTGTCTAATTGTCAATAATCACATTTATTTAAAGCTGAATGCTTCCAGAACACCGTTAAAGGTGTACCAATAAGTGCATAGTTCAATGTTTCAGCCCACAGAAAACAATACTTTTCTGGAAATAAAAGTTGGTTCAGTTCAAATCATTGACTTCCAGCCATCATCTATGTATTTCTCAAATGTGACACAGATCTGTACTCTAGGACGGCAGGTAAAACTGATCTGCCAATATTTTCTTAAACAGATCAGTTATTTGGTTTTTATTAAATATCAGAAAGCACTTGCCTATTGCAGTTTCCAAGGTAATGTCTTCAAATTGCTTCATTTGTCTGACAGACAGACTAAAACCTAAATGATATTCAATTTACCGTAACTCAAATCAAGAAAAAGCAGCAAATCCTCACATCTGGGAAAGCTTGGACCATCAAATTGTTGCTTGAAAAAGGCTTAAACAATGTATCAATAATCAAAAAAGGTGATGATTATTTTCGTATCAATCAATCGATTAATTGACTAATTTTAGCCCTACTATACTAGACTCAGACTTTATGTTGCTTAGTAAGGGTCTATCCAGCCACCCCAAGACTAGCATGATGCTTTCACAAGCCAAGCTGAAGCAAATGTCTTGCTTTGCTCAACTTTATCTACAGTTCTCGGTGGTGAACAGAACCCTTCTACAAAAATCTATGAGATACTTCATGGTGAAGAAATACGTTCAGATGTTTGTCACTATATATGTTCATTGTTCAACAAGCATGAGCAAGTGATTGGTAAAGAGTCAGTGTGTCGTCACCTCGAGAGGCTGTGGACCCTGGTGGGGGAGACTGTGAGGTAGAAGGGGGCTGTATGGCCTTTTTGTCCCGTGGGGCTGAGGAGGTGCAGCTTGGAACGGGACCGGAGGTTGTGAGGAGTACAACAGGGGAATGGGGGCTGGAGGGCAATACAGCCCTGTCTCCCCACTACACAGGTAGACTGGATCAGACAAGTCGCAGCTGTTCATCAGTCCAATGGGAGGCACCGACAGAGCCAGGCTCTCCTCTGAGCTCATCACTGAAGCCTCCTGTATCTGACTCTTCTTGTCCTCCTCAAACCGCTCACCAGCATCTTTTAAAGCTTTCCTGTTTCTCACTCGCTCACTTAACTTTTTACCTCGCCTCTTCCTACTCTTTTTTTTCACATCTTTCTCTTCTAGACTTTTAGTGTCTTTGTCCTCTTGCTTATCAGCCATTGTTCCCTTCTGCACCTCCCGTGCCTCCTCCGTCCCCAGCCTACTCTCTGGCTTCACCTGCTCCTCCTCTTCTCCATCTGTCGCCATCAGTTCCTCTTCTGATACAACAACTTTCAATAACAATAACTTTCTTTCTGCCTCTTCATCTTCACTCTGATTAAACACGTCCTCCTCTCCTTCTCTCCTCCTCCTCCTCCTTCTCATACTCCCTTGGCCATTCTTTGTTTGCAAATCCACCAGTTCCTCACACAGAAGACTTGGACAGTCTGCAACAGAGTGAAGTGAGAGGCTGAAAACCAGACCTGGAGAAAAAGATTCATGAGCTGCCTTTGTCTTGCTTCACAATAAGTTAGATATAAAATATATGAACCACTCGGGTCATCAGACTCTTGCTGTTCCATAGTTCATTTAAAACTGCCTTTAGTTGATGGAATAAGCTCCCTGAGGACTCAGGTTGTGCTCAGACTCTAGTCACTTTTAGAAGCAGCCTTCAAGCAATTTGCGTGGCCTTTTCAGTTAAGTATATCACATCTTTTCTTATAGAATTATTTATGTGCGTTTCTTCCCGTGTGCTTGTTGTGAACGTCTATTATTAGCAGTAGTAGTATTTTCTTTCTTTCCTTCTTAATCTCCATGTGAAGGATGTTGGGTTTTCCCCCATGTATGTAATTTGATATATACAGTAAATAAAGCTTGGAGGCTGTTGAGTTAGGCGTCTCTGGTTTGTCACAATAAAAATGACAAATGCAGTCTTGTTTTATTCAGTCTCAAATATTTTTATAGTTCTGAACCTTTTTATAAAGACACAAAGGGGAATCAAATGAAAAATTAAAACACATTGTTGCTATATTATAAGCTGATTCCAGTGTTTAATTTTGACTGTCAGGCCAACGAAAACTAAATTAATGAGGCTCCACCATAAGTGTGAGGAAGGCTTTGAACCTTAAGATTGTTTTCTTCATTGTCTAATAATCTGCTGATTAATTTAATGTTTTGGTCTGTAAAATGTAAGGGGAAAAATGCCCATAGGAATTTCAAATTTTCAAAACACTTGTTTTGTCCAAAACCAAAACATTTTCAGTTTACTATGATAAATCCAGCAAACATCCACATTTAAAAAGCTGGAACAACAGAATTAGGCAAAAATATCCTAATGCAGATTCAATTAATCAACAATTGTTTCAGCTCTACTTTGAACTGACATTCAGTCCATGTTGGGTATAATGTAACTAAAAATATCTAATTAAAACAGTTAACTGTATAAATAAAATGTGCCAAGTCTAAAAATGTACTTAATAAACTTTTTAGAGACCTATTTATCTATTGGCTATGGCCATGTTTGCAATGGTTTTCACCTCATAAGTCAAGAAAAGATATATCTTATTATATTTATTTGATTTTATGTAAATTTATTTAACTTGGTCAGTTATAGAGTTTAAGTATAAATAATTTCACCTAAAAAGTACTGTCAGAAATAACTTGATAATGTGAGAAGAGTTATGTCTTTCATATTTCATAAAGTGACCTACAGGTTGAATAACGCCTGATAAACGTCATCCTCAGGAGGAGCTGCTGCCTGCAGTGACTTAATTAGTGTCCCAGCTGCGCAGCGCCTCGTGCCACCTCACCTGACAGTTAATTAACTCTGGCCGGCTAGCTGCAACTAAACTAGCTAACCTGTCCCCATCTACAAACACAGGGTCGTGAATGTTAATAACATACTTTTAAATTCTGTAATGGTCTCTGAGGAGCTGAGCAGCACGGGGAGCCTGACCTCACAGGAAGGGTTATGAGCTTTAAATACTTCCAAAGTTTTCTTTCAAAGGTTACAAAATGACAGGGAAGTTGAGTAAAGCTTTGGTCGGCCGGTTGAAATAAGCAAGCCAATAAGCCAATAAAACAATTAAATGTCAGCCTAAATGTCTTACCAAAATCTTCGGCCAAATCACAGTCGGCGTCCATTGCGACTCAAGCCAGTCAAAACCAATAAAGTTTTACTAACAATCAATTAAGCCACGTTGTTTCACGAAGCGAATTGCTCCTGGACTGGAGGCTAATGAGGTTGATTGGTTGATTACCTCGGTCAGCAGCGTGACAATTATCGCGCGAAGGGTGAAACTCTACCAGCCAATCAGTGACCACAACAGGTCCAATCAAAACCTGTAGGTACAGTCTGAGTCTGATTTAATAAAAAGTTCGTTTTTAGTCACTGAATATGGCTGAATAACTGACTGTTTTACTTTTTAGTTTATTAATTTGTTGTTTTGGCCAAATTTTCTATTCACTGATTATCGCTGATTATCTATGTCAAGCAATACATTTAATATATAGCTAAATGTACAAAAAAGATGTTAAAACATAAAACACCTGTAAGCATTAGGAGGTTCTCATTTCTTTATTTTAGTTTGTATCATCCTAGTCTCCCTGACATGTTTATATTCAGTTATATTGTCTGTTACCTGCCTGTACTTTTTATATTTGTTTCAAAAAATGTGTGGAGAAAGATTTATCTTGTGACCCTTTGGATGCGGCCCCACCCACAAGTTGGGAACCACTGAACTAAACTACACTGCGTGCACAAGTATATAAGTATTTTGAATGAATAATTATTTCTATGCACATTTTCCAACTCTAAAGCATATAAAGTTGAATGAATGAAAACTGCAAAATACCAGTCAGACAGATTCAACATTCTTGAAATAGCTAAACTTTTGAATTGTATCCAATGGACTGTTAAACGTTTTGTTGCTAATAGCTAACTGGGGCGCAAAAAGCACATGAAGAAGAAAAGGCACAAATTAGCTGCAAAAGACTTATGTAGAATTAAACGTGAAGCTTCCAGGAACCCATTATCCTCGAGTGCCCCATACTCCAGAGCTGCAACCTACCTGAAATGTCCAGAGGTACAAGGTGCCAAGTGCTCAGAGACATGGCCATGGTGAGGAAGGCTGAAACACAACCCCCACTGAATAAGATTCACAAGGTAAGGCTTCATGATTGAGCAAAGAAATACCTGCAAACAGATTTTTAAAAGGTTTTATGGACAGATGAAGTGAGAGTGACACTTGATGGATGGGCCCGTGACTGAATCACTGATGGACACAGGGCACAACTTCGACTCAGGCACCAGCAAGGTGGTGGAGGGGTACTGGTATGGGCTGCTATCATTAGGGATGAGATACTTGGACCTTTTTGAAGATGGACTATAACTCAGCCCCCAAACCTACTGCTAGCTTCTGGAAGATACTTTCTTCACATACTGGTACAGGAAAAAGTCCTCAGTTTTCAAGAAGGCCACAGTCTTTATGCAGGACAATTATTCATCACATGCCTCCAAGTACTCCACTGCTTGGCTAACCACCCAGGGCCTCAAAGATGCGAGAATAATGACCTGGCCCCTTTCCTTACCTGACTTAAATCCTATTGAGAACTTGTGGGCCCTTCTCAAACGTCAGATTTACAGTTAGGGCAATACACCCCTTTGAGCAGCATTTGGGAGGCTGTGGTTGCTGCTTCAGCGAAAGTTGATAGTGAACAGATCAAGAAACTGACAGACTTAATGGATGGAAGGCTCATGACAGTTATTGAAAAGGTGGCTTTATTGGTCACTAAATATTTTAGCAAAGGCCAAAAATTTTGTGTTGTTACACTGATTCTAAAAATTGAGAATAATGAGAATAATTATATCGAAATTATTTTGGCAATTTACCATAGTTGCATAATAGTTCTGCACACATATATTCTCCTGAGCAAGACAAAACTCACTTTTCCTTAGTTAAACATTCAGGTTTGAGGTTCAGTTATATTTTGGATTGACTGAGAGCATTGTGTTTGTTCAACAATAAAAATTAATCCTGACAAATACAATTTGCCTAATAAGTGTGCACAGTGTAACGTTAGCCTATAAAGTTGTTGAACTTAAAGCTACACAACAGTAAAATGTTGCTGCTTGTCTATCTAATGGAGTATTTTTACACTGTGGTATTGGTACCTCTACTTAAGTAAATTACCTGAGTATTCCTTCCACCACTAATATTCATAGTACATCTGTTTGTACTCAAAAGTGAATCTCAATTATCTCTTTATAACTTCTGTGGTATCACTATAATGTGCAGTAATAACAATTCTGAGGCACTGATCTCAATAAAATTGACTATTGGATTGTTTCAGTAATGTTTTGTAAGATTGGGTGTGCACAATAAAAATCCATGTAGCCTATAATTAAAACTAATCATACCCCTGTGAATCATATCGCCATAAAATTATACTGTAGCTTAATAAAAGACTACATTATTATGAAACTTGAGTCGTTTAATGCATTTTAATGTGTTTTGGGATTTCAGTGCAGGTTGACTCAACTGTTAAGCACTGACGGGCTGCTGCTTTTTCAGATGATTTATTCACACATTTATGTGTCCTTAAGTATAAAAACACCAGAAAGTATCAAACCTTTTTGGCTTGTGACTAGGGTTGAGCTAGTACTCAGTTGAAAGGAGTATCCGGTACCAATAATATAGGTTACTTTTTATGAGTACTAGTTTCATGTGTCAGTATCTGTTTTCTAATAAACTATAAATAGGAACCTTTTTTTTTACAGTTGTAAACTGTTTTAAACAGTTTTCTAATAAATATAGCAACTTCTGATCAACCCATACCAATTTCATTATTTATTAACTTCCGGTAAGTCCTGCCCATTCCAAGTACAGATACAGATACAGATAATTTAATTTGTTGAACAGATACATATACAGATACTGGTGTACTTGCTCATACCTACTTGTGACCCTGTAAATGTTGTACCCAGTCATGACTAGTTTAACCAAAGTTTTATTCAATAAAAGCCTGAACGGCTAAAAAAATGAATGAATGAATAATCTTGTGACCCCTCAGACTTATCCTGAGTCCTTGCGGGGGTCCAGTCCCCTAAATTGGAAACCACTGCAGTAAATTGAGAATAATTAATGCAGGTCCCCCGCGACCCTGTACGCAGGATAAGCGGTTGACGATGGATGGATGGATGGATAATGCCGATCCTTTGAGCTTCTTATTCTACAAAGGCTTAAAATGGGGCAACTAAAAGACATTGTTAAATAAAGTATACATATAACAGCTCACTATCGGTTACTCAGTTATAGAGGCTACAGAGCTCCCAATCCAAGCTAATGCATGTCTGTTGTGAGAAAGCCAGGTTAACATCAGGTTTGTCTTACCACAGTTGTTCCTCTGTTACCCACCAGATGGGGTACTGACTGGACCAGGCTCTTAAACCTTCTTCTGTCTACTCCAACTCTACTTCAGCTTTCACTCCTCTGTTCTACCCCTCCCACACAGAAAAGTTCTCACATAAACCCCCCCCCCACCATCCTCTGTGTGAGGCACATTTCCATATCACCAGCCCACTACTGAAGCCATGCCTGGTACTCCACCACATCAGGTGACCTTGGTTTCATCAGGTTTGATGCAAAGAATGTAAATTGAAGCTCTGTTTAGAACAGTTTCCTTTCCTGTGTGCTCACAAATCCCCACAGACAGTTTATCTAATCACTTCATAAGTACACTTTTATGTGACGACTTAAGAACAATAACATCTCTGGTTGTTCCTCCCTTGAGGGTCTACTGAGTTCAGCAAGTGTAAATGGGCTGTTAAGAGGCTGCGATCATACCTATACTATAAACAGTAGCTAGTATGCATACATGGTTGCATGTAATGTCACCAGGTCAGAAAAGGCCAAGCTAATGCTGGAGTGTGTTAACACCAGAGCGAGACTTTGTGTCTGCATGTAAGTTCTTCTGAATGCCCTTTTTTATCCACAGTTTCAAGTCCTGAGTGAACAGATGAACAAATGGTAGGCCTCAAGTTTGAATTCAATCCAGCACCGGGGGGGTTGTGTTGAGACCAAGGATTGAAAGAGTCAGTTCACCCAAATGGTCATCTTTTATTTTTTTCACTTATAACTTCTGAGGCTCCAAAAATCCCCAGGTTCAATGCATGTTAATTGCTTTTGGTTATTTGAATAACGGTGCATTTGTTAGGGAATTAGCACAATTGGTACTGTGGCCTAATCTTTTTAGTTTTGCAGGGGAAATCTGTGTCAAAATCAACATTATTTTTGTTTATATTGTGCTCACATGGGGCACATTCCTAAACCAAGTTGCGTCTGGGACGCAAGATGTAGTCTGGTGTGTGCAACGTAGTTTGACACTTTTTTGCTTTCTTACCAAGAGTGAGATGAAAAAGTCAATGCCAATGTCAGGCCAGTTAGCTTAGCTTAGCATGAAGACACCTACCAGCACCTATACAGCTCGCTCCAGCCATCCAAAACATAGTCCGGTACACACCGGCACATGACCCCTTAAAACCACAACTTGTCGTTTTTATACTTTGGTTTTTTTAATCGTCCCATCTAACTCTGGGCAAGAAAGTGAATAAGTGCATTACCTAATATACCGAAATATTCCTTTAATGGGTACATGGAGGTGATATGGCACATACATACTGCACAGAAGGTGTTTGGTCACATTTTTGCTTCAGTCATGTGATTGTTCATTCTTATTTTGGTAATTCTTCTTCTTCTTCTAGTTTGTGACCAGACCCAGTTCAAATCGAAATTATCCATCATGTATTATTGAGACCAGACTGGACACTAACAGTAGAATGGAAAATGACAGGTGTTTTGATTGATCCACTTAAAATTTAAAAAGACAAGAGAGGACAGATTTACCCAATCAGGTTTTTTATTTGGAACAGAGTGGCAAATTAGTGACAGGGCGGTGGCGTAGAGGATCCGCCTCCTCTCGCTCACTCAGCCAATGACAGAAACTCAGCCTTAAAAAAATGCAAATGTATAAAAACAGGAATGGGAACAGCAAACATAGAGTCGTGTAGCCTCCATTGGGCTTCACACACACACACACACACACATACCTAGACTCACACACGTACAAATTCACCCTCTCTCTCACACCCACACGTCTTATTTGGCTACGCAGGCTTAGATGGGTACAAACACACGTTTACACTTTGACAGTCACTTTAGAAAAGACAGTACGTGTTAAGATCATTCCTGCCTGTGAGAAAGTGGCGTGTTATCTGCCCGTCTGCCCTGCGGCAGAGAGACAGACAGGCAGACAGACAGACAGTGAAAAGACAGTTAGAGTGTGAAAGCCACTGTGAGGGACCAGCTGTCCCTCGTTCAGCAGTGAACAGACTAAACACACGCAGACACACACGTCGACAGGCTAGTCAGTGTACACAAGTCTGCTGTGAAATACCAAGGTGAAGCGCGCGCACACACACAGACACACGTACAGGTGGTGGGTTTAGATGAAGTGTAGACACACATACACACACACATATTCTCATACTGGTGAGGGGGCAGGTGACGTACGCACACAGGAGTGGAAGAGGTGTGTTACCTGTCTGTGGAAGAGCGTGAGAACTGCTGGAGTAGGTAAACACACACTCAACCATAGTACATTCCAACTTTAACTCACCCCTCTTTTTCTTTCAAACGCACAGAAACACACACAGGCATCCACACACACACACCGAGACTAGTATAGTTTTGACTCCCATGCATTTTTGTTCTACAGTACTGATTATAATAGAAGCTACTAGCCCAGTCGCACTGGTGTGGTTATTGTTACAATCTCTTAGATAGAAGCACTCCTGTCTCCTCACATTCCCCTTCGCAAACCGAATCCTAACCCCATTTCCCTGTTGTCCCCCCCCAAAAAAGAGTCCAACAGCAGGCAAAGTTGACCCCATGAACACCAATTCAGTCTCTCTCTTCTCATAACCTTAGCTTCAATGACAAGTCGTGATTTTGACCAAATTAATGCTTGTGGGAGCAACTTCCTGCACAGATTCACGCTTCCTGTTTTTCATTATAGCCCCTCTCACTTCCCAGAGGCCCTGCCCATCCCCAAACAGAGAGCCAATGGTGGAAGAAAAAGAAAGTGAGTCATGCAAAAGGTGTGTGTGGGGGGAGTATCAGATGACGTGATGACATGACACGTAGTTGTGCTTTTACACAAACAGACCAAACTCTAAACCAACCGGCAAATGATCCATAACTAATCAATAACATATTGAAACCACCTGATCTCGCTTGTATCACAAGTGATGACTATCACAATGATGGTGATGATGATGATGAGGGGTTTGATATGCATTTGAATGATATGATTTACAGAATATTTCAAGTCTGTGTGGTGTATTCAGATGCACAGCAATTTTATATGTCTGCACTTCTGTGTTTGTTTGTGTGTGTGTGTGTGTGTGTGTGTATGTGGCTGACGAGAGCACAGTTCATCTAAGTGATGACTGATGTGATGAATAAAAACTCTTCATGATCATGCAGATGGATAGTGATGCCAGAAAGGATACGTTGATATTTACATATAAACCTTTTTTAAAACTGCTAAATACACATCCTCCTGTTTAAGTATCATTATTGTTATTATTATTATTATTATTTCGGTATTATTATTATTCACCACCCAGCCCCAAAACATTGATATATTATTGGTTATTATTACTATCCATAACTAGTCTTTGTACAGCTAAGAGGAGCAGATGGGTCGCCGGCTCGGCGTGAGCAAATGTCTATATGACCAGACACTGTTTCCACAGCGGCTCCCGGACGTTGTGAAACACATCGAGGGTCGAGCACTGTTTTCTGGTTGGCCAAGCACAGAGAGAGAGGTCAGAGCCACCTTCAAGCTGACACCAGTGTGTGTGTGTGTATGCATGTGCATGTGTATGTTTATGTGGCTGTATGGATGTGCGTTTACGTCCTTGAGCACCACAGGGATGGAAGGCACAAAAGAGACCTTTCCTCTCACCTTTGACCCTGGGCTCTGTGCGGCCAACCAGACGCTCCGTCTGTTTTTTGGGGGGGTTAGGGTTGAGCCCACCACTCTCTTTTTCTTTTGTGTCTCGCTCAGCTCGCACCGCCCCTCTCCTCTTTCTTTTTAGCCTTTCCATTTACTCCATAAAAACAGAGGAGGAACTTTTTTTTGTGCTGGAAAACACAGGTTAAGAGCTTGTGTTTTGTTTGTTTTTTTGCCGTTGTTATTTTTTTTTTACAAAATAATCATATCATTACATACAGAACAAGAGAATCTGCAGAATATCGATAACAACATTTACTTTTAAAAACATCTTGTGTTTATGTGTTATTTTTTCAGAATATATTTAGATTTTTTTCTTTCTTTTTTTTGTCCTCTTTTTTTGTTTTCATTGAAAAGAAAGTTCCAAGTCTGCAGAGAGAAAGGCGCTCTCAGGTGTTTTGGAGACGAGAGGAGAGAGGGATGAGGAGAGGCGAGCAGATGAGGGGGAAGCGACGAAGAAGAAGAGGAGCAGGAGGAAGGGGCTTAGAGTATCTTTCTCTCTTCTCTCTCTCTCACTCTTTCTCTCTCCCTCGGTTTGCGGTGCGTCTCTCTGGCATACGAGTGTTATGCGTAAAACTCCTCCTGCTTGTCTGGTTTCTGGTAGGTGACGGTGGCTTGTTTAGGTTCCTCCAGTGTGTAGCTTCCCTCGTCCTTCTTCTTCATTCTGTACACCAGCAACATAACCAGGAAGGCAGCAAACAAGGCGCCCACCACTCCTCCCACTATCACCGCTAAAGAAAGACAGAAAGAGAGGTTAGATATCAAAAACTTTGCAGAACAATACAGATTAGATCCTACAAACACTGAGAAATAAACATAAACAAACACTACACACTACACTACATCACGACAAACGCATTGTTTCAAACACACCTAGTATGAAAGCAGAGCAAAGCTACCACATCATCACTATCAGCTAGCTGCTAAGTGAAGACTGATGAGCCTGAATGTGCCAGCATACGTTCTGTGCTGGCAACAGCTTTGTGCTAAATCGCAGCCCTGCAGTGCTACATAGTAGTTTAGCCCAATGGGGCCGGTGTAACCAATCCGCAGCGGCTGCAATTTTCCTCCTTCTTCTGCACACATCGCTAATGAACTCTTGCTGTGTGCGATAGATTAATGTGTGGTTATCAAATGGGGAGGAAAAAACTTTCCCTTGTTAAGCTAATTGGTATTGACGCCAAAACGGTGAACAAACTGTTCATTGCACTTCTACTAACTACTGTTCCCATTCATTGTGTGTTTACTTTGTTTATTTCATCACTGTCAAAATCAGAGTGCATAGGCTGGGGTTTTTAAAATAGTAGAACTTTTCACCATGCACTGTTACTGCAAAGGCATTCACCCCTCCTGACTTTTCACACCATTTCTTGTAATTTTATTTTTATTTATTTTTTGTCAAATCATGCAGTTTTTATGTGTTATATTGTTGTTGTTTTATGTGTTATATTTCAATTTAATTTAATTTTAATTGTTCATACATATGTACCTCTACCATCCCTTTTACTGTGGAAGACAATTGTGATATTGGACATGAGAAATATTAACTGAACGCATGCAGTTTCTTATTTTTAGAAGAACTACTTTTCCTTAAATCCATAATATCAGATCTTTATTGCCATCACTGACTAAAAGATTTTCAGCCATGCTCGCAGCATGGGTCAGCCATGCTCGCAGCATGGGTCCATGGATGCCACTGTCATTCAGCCTGTCCACATTGGTCCAGACTAAAATGTCTCGACAGCTATGGGATGGATTGTCATGACATTTGGTCCATACATTAATGCTGTCGTCAGAATGAATTGAACTTTGGTGACTTTGGTTTCATCAAGCATCATCATCAAAATGTCTATTCATCCAATACTTTGGTTTATGACCAAATACTTGCAAAACTAATGAAATTCCCATCAGCCTCAGCTGTACTTGTTTTTAGTGCTTCTTAGCAAGTATCCACATGCTTACAGGCTAAACTAAGATAGTGAAAACATTATTCCGGCTAAACATCAGCATGTTAGCATTGTCACTGTGAGAATGCTAACATGCTTAGCATGCTAATATTAACATTTAGCTCCTAAGTACAGCCTCACAGAGCTGCTAGCATGACCTTAGACTTAAAATATTAAACGTTCCCAGCACAGTACTGTGAAATATAGAATAGATTTGGGGGGATGAAAGGCAATTTTCCAATAGTTTTGGATGAAAAACATTATGAAGGAAACACAACTGCAAAGTACCATATAATTTTTGAAATATTTGGCTGGGGGAAAAAGCCTGATTTAAATATAAATGTTATATTTTATTTGTCAAAACTTTGAAATCCTTAGTCTGAATTAGTGTGAAAAATCAAAGATTGTTACTACCTGCAAATTACTGTATATCCCACGTTCCTTGATATGTTACTTCCACAGATGAAAGCGACTACACATGTACAGCACTATGTATATATATATATGACTGTATGAGCCTGACATGTCCAGTCGTAATTTGGTTCTACCATATAGACAGTCTAGTCTAAAGTCTGTTGCCTCCTGTTCTTTACCAATGACCAGGAAATCAGCGAAAACCACCGCCAGCAGTCCCCCAATCAGAACAGCTAAAGGAGAGACAGAGAGCCAGTCAGGTCAGGAGAGTTGGCTGCTCCCTCACTTTCTACAACAGCTCTTTGGGATGAGGAGAAGGGGGCACTTGAAAAGAAATTGGATTTACCCAGAGGGAAAATGATGAGAAAAAGAGGGGAGAAAGGAGGGGTGGGATGACCCAAGAAGAGGATTGTTTGTTCTCAATGGGTCAAACAGGGCTAAGTAGCACATTCACTTATTGTGATGAATCTGCTCTACGAGGTAATGCCAGTTTATCTTAGCAGCTCCCAGAAACCAGGGAAAGAAGACAGGAGGCAACGGGGAAATTTAATCTGTTGATCTGAGAGGTGACTACCAAGTGGTATGTTTGACAGAAAGGCAGACAGACAGGATCAGATAGACATGTAGTGAGACAGACAGACACAGAGCTTGATGACCAGGACACATATCTGAACAAAAGTTACAAAAAACATTATTAACATTGACTTTACTGACAGATTTTCCTACCTATCAAGACCTCTTTTCTCTCCAGGATGTTCTTCTGTGGCAGCTGGGCGGCAGAGCTTCCTCCGTCCACCGTGTTGCCGAGCAGATCAGGATCCACTGGCATTACACCTTGACCAAGATCATTACGGCGATCATCGCGGATCTCGAAATCTCCACTTGGTCCTGCAGCACCCACATCATTGTTACCATCCTGAAAGAGAGAGAGAAAATGAAACTAACTCACTGAGACCAAACCAACACAAACAGAGAACTTTCCATGGCACATATTCACCTTTGAAACAATGGGCCTCTATATGTTCTGATTGTTGGAAAGTTGCATATTGTCCAACACATATATACACACTTCATAAAATCTGGCAGCTTAATTACGATGTGGAAAACCAGACAAATCTAAATGCATCACACTTTAATGCAGGACTGCTGCAAATAAACAGAAGCACACCAATCAGAGAAATTACTCTGGTCTGTAAATTATTAAGCTGTCAGAGTTAAAGAGGCAGTCAGAAAGAGGGCTGAGTATCAAACCCCAGTAGTTATTGGTACTGACCAAAATTAGTCCATGAAAACAGAGTAATGAAAAGGCTAGTATGTGAATACTTGGTCAGTTTTGTGATCTTATTCACTCATTCTTTGATCAGATAGTTCCTTATTTAAATCATCATTTTGACAATTTCAGACTGTATTTTATTTAGGCAACAAAAACTGTACAGCTGCTTGTATTTATGCTAAATTTAAAGGTTAAGTCTGGCAATATTCTGAGTTACAAAGAAGATTTGTCTGTGTCGCCAATACCTGATACAGCTTATTCTTCTGTGCCATTAAAAAAACACATAAACGAGCCACACTGTTGCACTGGTTACATGCAGGGGTGTTAATCTTTCAGTATCTCAAGGTTCAATAACAATTTCTAAAAAATCAATTTGCAATTGAGTATATTGGGGTGCTAAATTGTAGCTCTACTGTAGTCCGATGTCTGCTAAGACAGGCAGAGTGGCAAAAAGCAGCTTTACGGCATGAAAGCGACTCTGGGTGATTACATTACATTAAATTTAACTCTGGGTGTTGTGTGTGATGTGAGCACAGGCATTTGTGGAGTTCCCAGAGTACTTGATTTTCATTTTGCTTGGGGGGCAACGTTACTGGAGGTATCAACTATAGTAGCTAATTTTAATTTAAGAACATTTCATGGTTTCTGCTTGACAAATGTGAAGACTTGCTGCTTATCTTTTTAATAATTTTTATTTATTATTAATAATGTTGAGGTTGGGCTTTTAGTTGAAGTTGGCATTTTCTGCATTGAGTACTTTTACTTTTAATATTTTAAGTACATTTTCCTGATTATACTTACACAGTCTTTCTACATACACCGCGGGGCCCCTAACATGGATGTCGCCATCCATGATCCTCCTTATGGGAGCTGAGCTCCCTTAAGGAGGATCTGAGCTCCCATGGAAGCAGTAAAATCATGCATCTGTCTGTCTGTAATTCATTTATCAACAACCATTATTTTGAATCACAAATGATGTACTATTCATTTCATTAGTACTATTACTTACATTAAAAATATAAACAGACTTAAATCAACATGTTTTCCTAATGAACAGCGCAGCGCACCGCATGACTGACATGATGGCTGCACTTCTCCACCATCAGCCACTATGGTGCACAGTAGCCCACAGTTTTGATCAAACAGGTTAACAAAAACTTACACACTGAACCTTTAAGTTGACTTGCGCGTTGTTATTGGTCCTTTTATGGGATTTGTTGACAATACAAAAAATATACAAGTCTTACCCTTTAACTTTTGAGAAAATTGACATCCTTTGTTAAAGGACAAGTTTCATTCCTTGATCACTTTCTTTCTGAAACTGAGATGAGAAGATTGATACTACTCTGCTGTTTGTACATTAAGTACGGAACTAGAGACCGGAGACGATTAGCCTAGCTTAGCATAAAGACTGGAAACAAAGGGAAACAGCTAGCCCAGGTTTGTCTAAAACTCAAACATACTGTACTCTCACCAGCACCTCTAAAGCTCATTAATCTACATGCTGTATGTTGTTAAATCCATACACAATCAGTAATGTAACACCAACACTTTGTCTTGCTATAAGTATTACTTGGCAAACATCAGCTTGGCGCAGTGATTCCCAGAATTTTGTGAAGCCCTTGTGAAACTGCCAGGCAATCAGTGATGACGTATGTTGTCTGGGTGGATGGGTAAACCTAAGTCATTTTTACATAACTCTGAGTCTAAATTCCCCTATGAGAGGGGAGGAGTTATTATAGAAACTCCCTGCTGTGTGGTGTTTTATTGCGTGGGTTAGGGTTAGAGATGATATTGAGGTCAGACACCACAGATCGGCACTGTTCAAATTCTATATCAACGTAATAATGTGAGTTGGCTAACTGAACTAATTAATGTTAACTAACTAATTGAACTAACAAATTTTGACTCTCACCTGTGTAGTTGTGGGCTGCTGTGGGCGGGTTGTTTTCTCTGTTGGCACTGCCTGAGTGGCTGTCGTACTTGGAACCCTGGGCCTGAAGGCGAACCTGGTCTTGACAGTGGTGGTGATCGTGGTGGTGGTAGGTGCAGCTGTGGTGGGCTCAGGGGTGGTCTCAGCTGTGGTGGGCATGTCTTCCTCTGTGGTGGTTTCCATGTCGAAGCCTATGTAAAACGATGTAGGTTCGGGTGACATGTTGAAGTCCTCTTCTTCTTCTGTGGTGCTCAGGTCGTCCAAGCCGGCAGAGGGCGCTGCACTTTCCACAGGGCTGATTGCCGGATTGGTGGTCACCACGGGGACTGCAGCAGGGGATCGTGGGGCGGCTGTGGTCTGGGCGGCGGCCCTGATTCGCTCCAGCTCTCTCTCTCTTTCAAGCTCACGCTCTCTCTGCCTCTCTCTCTCTTTCTCACGCTCTCGCTCACGCTCCCTCTCTCGCTCACGCTCTCTCTCCCTCTCCTTCTCCCTCTCCATTTCCCGGACCCGCTCCCTCTCTCTTTCCCTCTCTTTCTCCCTCTCCAACTGTCTTTCCCTCTCCAACTGTCTCTCCTTCTCCAGTTCCCTCTGCCTCTCTTGCTCTTTCTCTCTCTCTCTCTCTACCTCCATCTCATTCTCCTCTCTCTCTCCTACCGAGAACACACCGCTCTCGCCATCGGCCTCGGTGGTCAGCGGGGTGGTGGTGGTTTCCTCTGGGTTGGGGCTCGGCTCAGCTGCAGGTGAGGCGGAAGGGGCGGGCCCGGTGGCCTGGGTGGTAGAAAGGAGGAGGGGCTCTTCCGTGGTGAAGGACACACCCACCGATGTTGGCCTCATACTGATATCAGGAACTGGAGAGGAGAGAATTTCGAATTAAGAAATTAATTAAACAACAATAAGCAGAGGAGGCAAAAAAATTTAACCTTTTACACATCTCACTCAGTCACACATCCTGTTCATCTCACAGCTCACACACTCACATCCCCGCACAAACAGTAAAACCACTTGTTCCTTTTTCACGTCTCCTTAATAAACACTCACTGTCGCTGTACACAGCAGTGTATATGAACACTATTTATTTCAATGAGGGTTTTTTGAGGACACATGCATACATTTCACTGTGTGGATATAGTAAATATAGTCCACTATATAGTAAATGGGAAGTTTTTAGCATTTTTGTCTTTGACAGGATACAGTTGAAAATCAGACAGAGAGATGTGAAACAAGGTGCCCTGCTGGATTCAAACCAGATATGTTGCAGTTAAACAGCATAATACCACATATACTGCTAGCCTTCCATGATGGCCCTAAGCCGGCTTAATTTTGAAACGCTTCCTCTTCACTCTGGTTTGGACTTCTATCTACAATAAGCCGGGATTTTTCTCACCGAAAAAATGGAGCTTGTTAAAAAAGCTCTCTATAGTTGAAGAATAAAAACACCTGCCTCATGGCTTACAGTGGATGAGGGAAGACTGAGTTCGATGCTGTAAGCCTGGTGGAGGGCTGTGTGGCAGTCAGGTTAAAGGTGTAGTCAAGCATTTTAGTATTGTTCTTCCATAAGGATGGGGGACTTACAATCAGCAGATATAAAAAAGACTGGTCAAAATCTGTGAGGCAAAGGCCAATATATCCTGACTTTTCGTCCCTAGTGTGACTCAAGCTCCCAAAAGGCTGGAACCTAAATTTTTTGGACTGCAACTAATATCACCTTTTTACGCAAGAGTCTCCTTGACTGGTAAACACCCACATCTTTCAAACTCCACGCCCTTATTTGTAACACAGGCTTTCTGTTATTATTGAGGTATTTAAGTCCCAGCCCAGGTAACACTGATGACATCACTATTAGAGCCCGACCGATATGTTTTTTTGGGGGCCGATGGCGATATTAAAGTAAATTTTGAAAATGATTTGGATACCTGTATAAACTACACTTAGAGCAGGCCAATATTGAAAGCTGTTCTGTATGTGGGCTTCAATACCTTTTCCTGAATGGATTATGTTAAAAAACAAAAAAGCCACAGATGAGGCCACCATGGCGGCGGCTGTGGCTCAGGAGATAGAGCGAGTTGGCCGTTAATCGGAAGGTCGGTGGTTCAATCCCCGGCTCCCCCTTGTTGCGTATCAAAGTGTCCTTGGGCAAGACAAGGCTTGTTGTGTTTCCCCAAGTGTGGAACAGTTTTTCAAGTTGAAGGGGTGGATAAGACATGCCTTTGGTGTGAGAGACTGCTGTTCCGCCAGTGTATGAGTAAGTGTGAATGTTAGTTTCCGTTTGAGCACTTAGGCTCAGTGTATGAATGTGTAAGACTGGTGAATACAGATGTAGTGTAAAAGCGCTTTGAGTGGTCGAAAAGACTAGAAAGGCGCTATACAAGTACGGAGCATTTACATGGCATTAGCTAGCTTTGTGGCTAATCTAATTTAGCAATGTGCAGCGTTAGTTAGAAGTGATGAACTACGAAGATATTATAGGACCTTTCGCTAGAACTGCCACACTGTTTCAGAAAAAAATCTACAGTCACATTTGTCAACAGCATAGCTTCCACCACTCAACTACTGTAACATTAAACATACTGGTGTGACCCAGGAGGAAACAATGAGAGGGAAGTGAAAAACGGGAGGTTTAGCAACATGCGTGCGGGAAGGTGGTGCGGAGGGTACTGCAATACCCCTTATTGACAGGGAGGAACACAGTGTGCGAATGGCATGTGCAGACTACATAATGGGCACTATTGTTACTAAACGGCAACATAAAATACAGCAGGTTAGTGCTGAATTCAGAGGATGTTCTGGTTGATATTACAGCCTAATAATTTGACGTCAGCAGCTGTTTGCACTGTTTTGTCACAATTATAGGTGAATAATCATGTGCGCACAAATCATCCACCAGTCCCCTACCCAACTAATTATTTTCTCAGATTTACCCCAGCTCTACCGATCCTTTTAACTTTCCATGTGATTTTTTTATTGTTTAGTGTTTTCTTCAACGATTTACTTTAAAGATTTGAGAGTCTGCTGTCAGTCATTTTAAATGTTTCCATGGGTGCATTAATGTCACAGCAAATACCGTGGGACATTTATGCAGCAAAACTAAAAACTGTAGTTATAAACTTGACAGGACAGACAGAGGAAAGTCTGCAGAGGAAACAGAATTCTGCTTTTAGCTTCTAAAATAATTTAGACGCACTAATGGAGGATTGATCAGAAGGACGGCTGCTTTACTCCAAACAGTTTCACTGTATAAACCTGGAATGTGTGTGAGACCTTTTGGATGTGGAGAAGAAAACAGAACATTAATTAACGTTAGATTCTAACCGATCCTGTCGGCGTGTCATGAGATTTAAATATGAAGTTATGCTGCTGTGCCTCGTGCGTAAATGCACATAGCGTCTTTGCTTTACCCTATTTCACCCTCCACGAAAGTTACAAAATGTATCGTCCAAAGCTCTGCCTGCAAACAGCAGTGCTCTCTGCACTGCATGCACAACTTTTTGATGTGCTTGTTGTGTTTCCCCAAGTGTGGAACAGTTTTTCAAGTTGAAGGGGTGGATAAGACATGCCTTTGGTGTGAGAGACCTGGGTTCAATTCCCCACTGTGACCCATCTACCATTGTGTCCCTGAGCAAGACACTTAACCCCTAGATGCTCCAGAAGCGTGCAACCTCTGATGTGTATAGCAATTGTAAGTCGCTTTGGATAAAAGCGTCAGCTACATGAAATGATGGTAGAGACTGGTAGGTATAATCAGCTGCACATTTAAGTTGATCATGTTATCAATGTTTTTTATTCAAATGATTTCATTCATACATACATACATACTGTATATCAGTCCAGACCTCAGTGACCTCATATGACCACTCTGTGTTGAAGGAAAGTGTGTAAGTGCGTGCCCACACAGTCTGTCATGCACGCATTTCTACTGTACAGCACCCCTGAGCGAAAATGTCTTCCAGCCCGCCCGGTTAGCAAGTATGGTCATGAATGTTTTCAGGAGAGGAGAAGTGATGAGGGCTGTTTTTATTATTATTTAAGTCATGCATTTCACGTGAAAAATTACCATCTCACAAGGAACACAGTTCCTCTCTCTATTTTTTCTGCATGCTCCAGTAGACTCCTGTAAGCTGATTGCTTTGTGGTGGATGTGACAGGATTTGAACAGGGGATCTGCAGAGCGCCCGCTGGTGGGCAAATTTGCAACACTCATTATATGATTGAAGGATCGGTCGGGCTCTAATCACTATGACATCATCAGGGTGATTTTTTTTTTACTTGTCACAGCTCCTACAGATCCACTGATATTATATATAAACTGTACATATAAAACATAGGCTGAGACCTCCCATGACTGATCTTTATGTGTAAGATATTGAAAGCCAGTGGAATGCTCCTTTAAGGGAACAACTTTCAGTCCCCTCTCCGAGCTCATTTTAAATGTCAATATAACCAATCATACAGCACAGCTATGTTTGTTTTGTCAAATGACTTTAGGATCATAAAGTAGTGATTTTATTGACGACTCAGCGCAGCAATCAGAGCCGCAATCAAATTCCCATTTTCTGCTTGTTTAGCTGTCTGACAACAGAAACTGGAAAATATGTAAATGAGAACAACCATGGTAAACTGTGAGTTCAGCTGTGTGGACAGCAGGAGGTGGCAGAACGGAGGTTCATCCAACTGAGACCAGGCTGTCTGTCCCACTCTGAGGTTTGTTTCCTTTTGTTTTGGACTTTAAGAGTGGATGGAGACTTTTATGAAAAATTAGCTGAAAAAGCTTGAGGTGGATGCATGTAAACGGCATAGTCTTAGAGAGAATAGGAGAGGAGAGAAGGGGAGTGAAGAGAAGAGAAGAAAGGAGAGGACATGGCGGTGCTGACTGATTCATTTTCTTCTTAAATCTCATAATAGTATTATACCACCTTTCATTTTGTTATAGCACTGAGGCTCCCTGGGTTGAAAGAGAAACAAATTGAATTTACAGGCACAAAGACATGGAGGCTGACAGAGGAGCTGGAGAGGATATCGAAATATGGACTCGAACAATGCAGCTTCTGTTAAATTTATCAGACGCCTCAAAATGCCGCATTTTGAAAGCAGCAGCGACGCAAAATGCCCATCAGTCTGTTGAAAATGAGCTTTACCTTTGGAATCAGACGGCTCTGTATCACGGTTTGAGATAAAGTAATTTGCCGGGCTGCTCTTTCAACCACAGGGGGTGCCTCTGCTGCACTGTCCTGCTCTGAATTGTAATTTATTTTGAGCGTGCTCGCCACTAGCGCATTGCCTGAACCGAGGGCAGCCCTCAATGAGTCATGCTTAATAACGAGAGGCATGCTCAGGCTTCAACAGCCAGATCAGAAAATCAGCCTGAATTACACCAGTGTGATTTACGTTAAGTAGGTAATTCCTACACATGCAGACAGCCAGCTCAGTCAAACGCAGACATGCGCTCGCTGATAGGTGCACATGGCTGCTGGTATGCGTGTGATCGCCTAAACTGTGTGGACTGTAATCTGATTAGAGTAAATCAGATCTGGGGGAATCAAGCCCAGGTTGCTGCTGGTTTTCAAGGTTGCGTCTGTGTTTAAAGGTGTTTTCAATAAATCTGTATCAAAACCTGTCTTTCAAGCCAAACGGTGTTTGCATTTTGTGACTGTGTGGCCTTGGTGCATCTGAGTCTGGTGAACCGAGCGACAATAACTCCAGGACACGGAGGGGGGTCGGGTCTTCAGGGTCAGCAGATTGAAACCCAGCAGCTGTCGAGTTTGAAAGCACCAGGGCGTGAGTGTGTAACCTCACACACACACACACACACACACACGCACACTGATACACAGACTTACAGCCAGAGCCCGAGCCCGAGTAGAGGTCCTCATCATCGTAGAACTCATCTCTCGTCGAGCCGTCATCATCGATAGACGGCGACCAAGTCTGTCCCTGTGAGAGACACGGGAGGGGGGGGGGGGGTACAAATGAAATGATGATTAGAGTTATTCGTCATGAATGACCTGTTTGTCAGACACGCACACAACTGTCCAAGAGGAGGTGCAGGCAGCATTATGGTGGACAGGGTAACATCTGTCCGTCTGTGGCTCTATGGAAGAGCATAGTTAATGAGTTGATCTAAAGCTGGGATTTTGGCAGAGGAACATCAAAGCCTTTAAGAAGAGAGAGGTTCCATCCAGTCTCTGCCTACGTGCGAGTTACAAGTGATGCTTAGCCTGTAAAGTAGCAGAGTATAAAGAAGCAGTTAACTTTTGAACTTAAGCTGCTACTCACAATTCTTCCATCGCCAATTCATGTGTAAACTGTTTTCTTTTTGAATTATAAATCGATAGATGTTAGATGATAAAATTCCCAAAGCCAAAGGTAAAAACTTCTAACGTCTTATTTTGCCAATTTAACAGTTTAAAAGCAGAAGATTTTCAGTTTCCAATTATATGAAACAGAAAAAAAAGAAACTTCGAATGTGAGAATGGTGGGCGTATTTCCTTCATAAACAGCTAATGAGCTACTCAGTCAACTAATTGTTTCAGCACTAAATTGTTTTTATCTTATATCTTTAAAATGTCAGAGAATAATAAACAAGACTAGACAGTGTACAGCCATCAGCTCTGTGAGGCAGTACTTAGACACAGCAGTTCTTTGAGCTAAATACTAACTGTAGCATGCCAACATACTCACAATGACAGTGCTAACATGCAGATGTTGAGCAGGTTTAATGTTTACCATGTTTGATAACTTAGTTTAGCATGTTAGCATGCTAATATTTGCTAATTAGCACTAACACAAAGGCTGACGGGAATGTCATTAGTTTAGCAGGGATTTATAAACAGGAAGTTATAATCCAAATTTCATAGCATCCAATAGTTGGAGCTAGCGTGGCTAAAAATGCCATCACCATTTATTAATGTACAAGGTAACGTTGTTTTGTCCGGCATAGGCTGACCAGACGTCCCCGTTTTCCGTCTGGAGCTGTCCCCGGAAATGTCCCCGTTTTTAACGGTGTGTTTATCATAGACTGTATAAGGTGTCGACAGACCTGAAATCAGATTTTACGTGTCCAGCAAGACTGGACAGCAGAGCATACAGGTGTCGTGCCGAAAAGCGATAGACCGCCGAAAACTGATTGTCATTAGCGCCCACAGCATGTTAAAGCTGTATCGCCCAGTCTCTTTAAACAGACATAACATGCAAATAAACATCACTTTATGTCCATGGTAATAGCAAATGTATGTCTTTATCTAAAATCTTTATCCGGAAACAGAATGTAGCCTATAATTAATTAAAATTGATTTCATTCAGAAGTTATATTTGACAGACTCAACTAGTACTTTTTTACCTCTTAATATGCCTTTAAATGGCCAAAACAACACATAAAATGCAATATTCTACTTGCCAGGAAGTGATTGCAGCCTCTACTTACTGACTAAAAGGTAGTTTCTGCTTCAAAATGACTTGATTTCATTCAGAGTTATATTTGACAGATTATAAAATCAAAATTGTCTCCCTTTTTTAATTAATATATAATACATTATATTTTTTAATGACATACTGACCAACAAACCAAAAATGTCCCCGGAAGAAGTTAGCTTTATAACATTTACTCATTTTGGCATATAAATGAAATATATAATCTACCTATCAATTTTAAATCTACGACAAAATCACCATTTCTTCTGAATAACTACTGCTGTACAGTTTTACAGGTGCACTCTGAAAGTTCTCTGCCTGTCTGTCATTGATCATTTTACAGCATCCGCCCTGCTCAGCGCTGTACCTTAATCCAGGCCTATTTCATGTATGGCTGTGAGGGGAAAACATAAGTTTGCCTGCCGACCTCTGTCAGGGTCAGGTAAGAGAGATTAATTGTGGATCATTCGGGGGATCAACCTCTGAAGTGAGTGACCTCGGGCTTCGGTCACTTTGAGGCTGATCCCTCCTCTCTCTTCATTCATCTCTCTCTCTCTTTCTCTTGATCTCGATCCCACATCCCTGCGATGTTTGAACACATACTTAAGGGCTCACCCATCTCACAGGGTCAACTAATACTGCCATCAGATGCATGCACTGAAGAGACACCGCCCGTACTGCAGTGCATTGACACATTTTAAACTACAAGACATACCACACTGTGTTTCAAGACTGTACTATAGACTGCATTCATTTCAAGTATTTACAGGTATTTCATGTAGATGTATCCAAATAACAACCTATTTTGGTCTTTTAAAATACGTTCACATACAAATACAACACACTGTGCGCTCATTTTGAAATATACTGTCTCTCTATTGATTTCTACTAATATGTTAAATGTTCCTTCTACTGCTGTTTTGTCATTGGTAGAATGTAATTAGGTACATTTAGTGTACTGTACTACAATTCTGTGGTACCTGCACTTTATTTGCTCATTTCCATTTATTTTACCGTAATTCTATTGAAGTACATTTATCTGAGAGCTATAGTTTCTGGTTACTTTGCAGATTAAGATTTGACTTGCAGAAAATTCTAAATATTAAGCATTGTTATAGATTGAACTACCATTACAATTATCTCCACCTCTAACAGTTTCGACAATAAAATGTTTTTTACACCTTATAGCATCAGTAACTCAGTATTATAACATATAATATTACTTTGAAATGGGCCTTTCTGCAAGTACTTTTTAATTTTGATTCTTTGAAGCTGTGTGACTTGTTGGTTTGGCCACTTGGGGACTTGGGGAAGTAGCTGTAAACTATTCAATTAAATTTTATTTATAAAGCGCCAATTCATAACAGTTGTCATAAAGTTGTCTCACTGCACTATTCATATTGAGCAAGTCTAGACCATAGTCTTTGTAATATTATTTACAGAGACCCAACAATTCCCACCATGAGCAAGCACTTGACACAGGCAAGGAAAAAACTCCCTTTTCGGAGCAAATATAGAAACACAAGACTGATATTTTATATCATGACTGATATTTCATATCACTTTGTAAAGTTGATATTAGTATTCATTTTTGGTCACCACCAACACCTGAGGGAAATATTTGGCTCTTTAGCTGTTAAATCTTGAGCTCCACTATGTACCAGGGGAACTTAAAGGTTTTTGTGGGTTCATCACTACAAGTGACCTCTTTTACTAAAAGTAGTCTGTTGTTAATATAACAATAAAATAGAGCGACTGATAATACTTCTGTACTTCTACTTGCAGAACTTTGTAATATGTTTTGTGTTGTTTTGTGTTGTTTTACAGTGCATTATTACTACTTCTATTTAAGTAAAAGAGATGAATACTCTTTCATCACTGCATTTTGTACCTAGATTCAGCTCAGTATACATTAAATAGTACACTGTTGTGATGCCAAGAACACAGGGCATAGCTTTGCTCCAGGTACTGGAAAACAGTCAGTCTACTGCTGAAAATGTGACCAAAACAAACTTATCTCCTCAGCAATCTTAAGCCCATCCTGAGGCTCTATAGAGCTATGTCTTTGCTAGCCTCTGTGATACTAATTGTATACACACACACACACACACACACACACAGAAGCAAAAGCTCCTCTCCGGCTCCAGACAGAGGAAACCTGATGCCTTTAAAAGCCAATAAAAGCATAATGGAATCTAGAAACCCGAGCATCCCAGTCCATCACATCTCAGCATGAGGTGGAGTTGAAACGCTATATGTACATCCTGAAAATGAAATTGACTTGAAGTTGTTTGGAGCCTTGACATACCGAGGATATGGGCTTCACAAAGTGGAAGGACGAGAGTGTGTGTGCTTCATGCTTCGACAGTAAATGTGTGTATGAAGGCCTGGTGATCTCAAACACTGAAAGTGCCGAAAAGTACTGAAAAGACGTCTCAGTGTGAATGTGTGTGTGAGCGTGTGCGTGTGTGTGTGTGGATCAGTTTTACAATGAAGGCCGTTGCTATGGGCAACCTTTGCTTTTCACAAAAATTCCTGTCTCCCAGTGAGAAGCTACCAGACACACACACACACACTTTTAAGAGCTACATAAGCAAAGGTGTTATGTAACGCCAAATAAACAACCCTAAAAACCAACATCAAAACAGGCTACTCCTCCAGCTCCCCCCTCTATCTGTCCCTCCCCCTCTGCCTCCCTTCGCCTCCCCCCTCTGGATCTACATACTCTGTGCCAGTGTATCCCCGTCCTCGCCCTATTTTCCTTTCATCTTAAACTCCATTTCTTATCTTTAGGCTAACCCCCTAAATTCAGCGTGACTCCAGAAAACACACACATACTTAAATAAACACACCCCGCCCCAAAGGCGGCACCAAAGCCCACCCCAGGGGCCCCTTTTACAAGTCCCCTATACACACAACAACCTCCAGGACATACTGTAGCTGCAGAAGACGAGTCTGCTGTTTGCCCATTTTCATTTTTGGAACTGGCATGTGCTCTGTGTGTTTAAATGACATCCTAACCTTTAAGAGTAATATGTACCCTCTGTGTCTCGACATGTTTCATTTATGAGCCGATATTATAAGTGTGAATTCATGGTATGGCGGGCAGTAGTGCGTCACTATGTGTAATTACAGCGTGTGTGTGTGTGTGTCTGAATGGGTATAATCACAGGTTTTGTTTGTGGTGTGTGTGCACATGCACACACAAATGCCCCTCAGACTCATTTCTGTGTGCGGGGGGGGTGTTTTACGTGATTTTGGGGGAGTCGAATAGGGCCAGCTCTGCATTTTGCCTTTGTTTCAGGAGCTATAAACAGCTGTGCTTTCTGCCTGCACCACATAGCTAACTAACCACAACGAGACGCATTGAGCTCTCCTCCACCGCACGCATAACCCAGGGCCAAAATCATCTGTATGTTGCCCTCAATTTCCCTCCACCACTGCATTTTGTTCTCATTCGTTATAAAAGGAAACTGTAAGATGACAGCCATGTTCCGCTGGATCTGTGGAGTGAACGCAATCCT